ACAAGGACACTTAAAAGAAAATTTTAGGTCAATATCCCCGATGAACATAGATGCAAAATTCCTCCACAAAATATTAACAATCTGAATTAAACAGTACATTGAAAGGATCACACAACATGATCAAGTGGGATTTATTCTAAGGATGCAAGAATGGTCCAACATCTACAAATCAGGCAACGTAACACACCACATTAACAAAATGAAGGATAAAAAATCATATGGTCATCCCAGTAAATGCAGAAAAGGCATGTGACAAAATTCAACATACTTTCATGATAAAAACTCTCAACAAACTGGATATGGAGGGAATGTGCGTCAATGCAGTAAAGGTCATACATGACAAGTCCATAGCTAATATCATACTTAATGATGAAAAGCTAAAAGCTTCTCCTTGAAGATCAGGAACAGGGCAAGGATGCCCATTCTTGCTACTTTTACTCAAAACAGTACTTGAAGACCTGGCCAGAGCAATTAGGCAAGAAAAAGAAACGGAAGTCATCCAAATCAGAAAGAAAGAAAACTGGATCTATTTGCAATGACAAATTATATATACAGAATATACTAAAGACTCCACCAAAAAAAACTTGAGAACCAGTAGATTAATTCAGTGGAGTAGGATAGAAAAATCAATATACAGAAATGGGTTATATTTCTATACACCAACAATGAACCATCAGACAGAGAAATTAATACCATTTACAATAGCATCAAAAAGAATAAAATACTTAGGAACAAATTTAACCAAGGAGATGAAAGATCTGTACACTAAAAATTGTAAGACACTGAAGAAAGAAATTGAAGATGACAAAACAAATGGAAAGATATTCCATGCTCATGGATTGGAAGAATATTATTAAAATGTCCATACTCCCCAAAGCAATCTATGAACTCAATGCAATCCCTATCAAAATTCCAAAGGCATTTTTCACAGAAATAGGAAAAACCCTAAAATTTGTATGCAACCACAAAATTAGTAATTCCTGATTTCAAGGTATATTACAAACCTATAGAAATCAAAACAGTTTGGTATGGGCATAAAAATAGATACACAGATCAGTGCAACACAATAAAGAGGCCATAAATAAACCTATGCACATGTGGTCAATTTACAACAAATGAGTCAAGAATATACAATAGGGAAAGGATAGTCTCTTCAATAAATGGTGCTGGGAAAACTGGACAGGCACACGCAAAAGAATGAAACTGGGCACCTATCTTAAGTACCATTCACAAAAATCAAAATGGATTAAAGACTTGAATATAAGTTCTGTAACTGTAAAATCCCTAAAAGAAAACACAGGGGATCGACTCCTTGACATCCATCTTGGTGGTGACTTTTTGGATTTGACATCAAAAACAAAAATAAACAAGTGGGGCTACAAATAAAAAGCTTCCACACAGTAGAGGAAGCCATTAACAAAATGAAAAGGCATCCTATGGGATGGGAGAGAATATTTGCAAGCCATGTATCTGACATCTCATAAGGGGTTAATATCCAAAATATATAAAGAATTCACACAACTGAGTAGCAAAAAAACAATCTAATTAAAAAACGCGAAGAGGAAGCAAGCAGGCATTTTCCCACAGACAACATACAAATGGCCAACAGGCTACATGAAAAAGTCCTCAATACCACTAATCACCAGGGAAATGCTAATAAACCCAAATGAGATATCACTTCACACCTATTAGGGTGGTGATCATCAAAAAGAAGAGATAAGTATTGGTGAGGATAAAGAGTAAAGGAACCCTGTGCACTGTTGGTGGGAATGAAACTTGGTATAACCATTATGGAAAACAATATGGCAGTTCCTCAAAAAATTAAAAATAGAACCCCATACACAATCTCACTTATGGAAATACATCCAAAGAAAATGAAATCACTACCTTGAAGTGATATTTGCACACTAATATTCAATGAATGTTTCACAATAGCAAAACAGAACAAACCACCACCCATGGAAACAACTTAATGAGCCCATCAACAGATGAATGGATAAAGATGTGGTATATATATACACAATGGAATATTATTCAGCCATGAGAAAGAAAATCCTGTCACTTGTGACACAGATGGGACATTGAGGGCATTATGCTTAGTGAAAAAAGGTAGAGAAAGACAAACATCAAGTTTTCTCACTTCTATGTAGAATCTTAAAAAGCTGAACTCACAGAGACACTGCAATGGTGGTTACCAGGGGTTGAGGAGTGGGGGAAAGAGATGTTAAAGCACAAACTTGCAGTTAGAAGATAAGTTCAGAGAATCTAAGGTACACCATAGTGATTACAGTTAATACTGTATCGTATACTTGAAAGTTGCTAAGGGAATAGATCTTAAATGCCCTCACAAGTGGTAGTCACGTGATGTGATGCAGGTGTTAACTAATGCTATAGTGGTAATCACTTTGCAATATGTGAGTCAAATCAACAAGCTCTATACCTTAAATTCATACAATGTTCTATGTCCAAGCTGGAAGGGGAAAAAAGCTACACAGTGCTATTGAAAGATGCTAAGTTCTTGGTGGCAATATGACTCAATGTTTGATATGCTAAGTGTGCTAATGATCAGTGCCTGGACAACTTCTTTCAATTACCTACAAAGGTATACTTCCATGGAAAATTCCTTAGAAGCCTAAGGAATAATAAACACCAAAACAATCTCCTTCCCACTTTGTTAACAGAACTCAGTGGCCAAATACTATTGGCAAAACCAGTTCAGCTTAGTCTGTAATTGTAAAGGGAATTGATCTCTAAGACTTTACTGGAAAGACAGACCAGATAAACACTTCCTGTGTTAGGAGCTAGGTGACCATTGCTGAGCACTGAAAATCTCACATCCTAGGAAGCCCCTCCAGTCCAGGAAAACTGGGAGGTTGGTCACCCTCAGCAGTTGTATGTCCACTTTTTGGTGGCTCGCAGTGTTGTTAAAGAATTTTTCCAAGATGTTCCGACAAGATACTGTACTGAGAGCTTCAGCTGTACAAAGATGAAGAAAGGGGAGCAAGATCAAATGAGTCTTCTCTTCCCTGTGGAACTTAACACTGGTACTGCATTCAAGTGCAGTACTTGATTTGTTCAATGTGTGGTTTCTAAAGGTCTTTCTGGAAAGGGACATCCAATGGGCAACCCATTCTGTGTCCTCACAGATCCAGAAGAGCCCAGCTTAGAGGCAGTACTGGTCTCAACACATGGGTACGCATCCTGGCTTTGCAACTTGACAGCCACCAGACCTTGGCCAAGTCACTAACCTCTCTGTGCCTCAAATTTCCTAATCTGTAAAATGTGGATAGTCCTAGTAATTACACTATGGCTGATATGAACATGAAGTGAGTTAATACATGTAAAGGTTTAAAATTCTGGGCACACAAGAAGTGCTAAATAAATGTTACATTCTCTTTTTGTCACCATCTAAGAAGGGTTTGTATTGATTTTCAAGAAAAGAAGCCTAAAGACCAGAGATGACAGTGTATTCTTTCTAGGGCCTAGAACGGAAAGACCTGTGCCTTTTTCGGGGACAGATCAGCAGAGTGTTCACAAAGACGGCCACCTGTTTGACAGGTGGTTGCCCAATTCTGGAGAGGAAAGAACATAACTGAAACTTCCAAAATACAGGCCTGGAATTTGACCAAAAACTTTTGAAATAAATATTACGTAAGACAAAAATGGGGGAGGAAATAACAGCTCATTCTCGTGTAATGAAAGGCTTACAAACCAGAAATTCTGAAGAGGTGTCACTTGACTAGATTATTTGTGGTTTACACATTATAGTACCAAATAAAATTATGAAAAAAAGTCACACTGGATTATGCATAATTTTTTTTTTGAGAGGACATCTCTTATATTTATTGATCAAATGGTTGTTAACAACAATAAAATTCTGTATAGGGGGGTCAATGCTCAATGCACAATCATTAATCCATCTCAAGCCTAATTCTCGTCAGTCTCCCATCTTCTGAAGCATAATGAACAAGTTCTTACATGGTGAACGAATTCTTACATAGTGAGTAAGTTCTTACATGGTGAACAGTACAAGGGCATTCATCACAGAAACTTTTGGTTTTGATCACGCATTATGAACTATAAACAATCAGGTCAAATATGAATATTCGTTTGATTTTTATACTTGATTTATATGTGGATACATTTCTCCCTTTATTATTATTATTATTTTTATTTTTAATAAAATGCTGAAG